GAACGAATGTACTGTATTTAGAATTCGAAATCAAGCATTCACCAAGTACAAAAGAATCATTAGTTCATTCAAACACCACATCCTCCACAGCTTATATTAGAGTCTAAGTGTCTGTAATTGATTGTACGTCTTCTTCTTAAGTTCATCCTGTGTCTGTCCGACACTGTATTGGATAAAAACTCTGTTTTATCTAGAATGTCCTCATTAGTATTGGAATTAACAACCGGAATCGGAACAGAATCACCTGTTTCCTGGGATTGTATACAATCGCCGTGGCGGTTGTGTGCCGAAATCACTATCTAGAATTTAAAGCACGGATTTCCCAACACTATCCTCCCCCATGGAATAATGTTGGATAAACAGCAGTTGATACGAAATCATGTGAATTGTAACCAAAATCGAGGTCATTTAGTACTTGTGCTTCGCACTGAACAAGTTTCCCACAAGAAACAAATGCATTATGAGGACAAATAATATTTGATAGAACATCAAGATTTGACTCTTCTGAAATAGTTTGCTCAAATTTATTAAGAATGTCATTGCAGAGTAATGGATCATTAGAAAAATCAGCAACTATCAAAACTACATGAGGTTTTCGATCCTGACTAGGTTCATTCAACATATTTTCCTCAGATTTGTAAGGAATTCCGTCAGAAATAAGTGAGTCATTAGGAAAAACCATATATAGTACAATAACATGAGAAATCTGATAAGTCGATTGATTAGAAACTGTTGTCTCGCAAGAATTCTGAGTTTTACTTAACTCTGAACTGTTATATGACTCTACACTGTCTTTTGAAATCGTTGATAAGGAAAAATAAACAATAGGAACACTGGACTTAATAGAATCAGAATTACAAGACTTAGTATTCGTTGCAGCAAAATGAACAGTTGTATTACAAACTGACTGAATATGTCCAATATCACCACATTTAAAGCACTTAGAATTACGAAATTTACATGGATTAAAAGAGTAGAACCTGCCACATGACAAACATTGATCAGTCTTGTGCCCATTTTCGTGAACTGCATCGCAACTCCTCAATGAATTATCATTAGTTCATTTGAATGCCACAAATTCTCAGCACAAAGTATTTCAACAAGTTTCCTTTTTTCATTTCTTGATCGATCCCGACGATAAATATTGAATGATCAGCAGTTAGAAGTTAGCAGTCCACTGAATAGACATCTAAATAATATACGTTCTTTTCGCTGCATATTACCAGCAACTACGATATGTTTGATTGGATTTTTTGTATTTTGTACAACGAAAGGTTGTACAGTTTTCAGAAACGTACCTGAATAGGTTATGCGATTGATAAACATAATGATGTATTAAATCAAACGAAAATAGATAACTTGTTGAAATATCTAGATGACAGGAACATGTAACCCAGATGTTCAAGCAGGCTGCCAAGTTCAGAGTTTAGTTGAGAATATTGAGTATAGTGATTCTCAATTAAGACTTCATCTTTGTATATAGACAATGTGCCACATTTCAGTAGAAATGCCTAACCATATCTAACACCAAGTCAAATTTCGATGCATTTTTTTTGTTGTTGAAATTTTACTTCATCAAGATATATCATGTCAGCATCAACAAAGATTCATAGATAAAAATGGCATAGTATTTCGGAAAATAGACGATTTTAATCATTTGATTGATTTTGCTGAAATTGTCTTGTTATATTCCAACTAGACAAGAATTATTGACAAAAAATGTAATGACAAACTCCTTCATTAATATCTGAAGTGCTGGAACTATGATGTTTCTATAGCCGTGTACGTTACTCAAGGTTGTACATAATTTTGAAATTTTATAAAACAATCAATGAAATATCTACATCAGTCAAAACTGATAATGCAAGAAAGTTTCTTTTTATGAGATATTCTTCTTTATTGTAAGTAAACAGCGACAGCTGTCATTCAATCTCATTTAAGCTGAAGCTGTGATCACATGTATAATAGTCCACAAATTTTATTATTGAACTACTAATCAGGGTTCATGAACACTAAGTATGCTATACTGCTGTTCAAATGATGAGAGCTTCAAGCTACTGATTGTTACTTATAAGGTGCGAATAAGCATAATCTACTAGGGAAATTAACTGAAATTTACCATTAACACATGCAATAATATATTTCATGATCTGTTGTGAAGATATCTGTACACAAGCTTTTATATTGAATCCATGACGGACGCGTAAATGTGTAATACAATTTTCTGAAGGACTTAAGTCATTTCTGAAATTAAAGTACTTTCAGTTGATTGGGTGAAATGTCCGAGTATATGTGCCTATGATAAATTCTTAAATTTTAGACTCATCAATTGAAATACTTCAAGCGATAAGTATTACTTCTCAGTTGTCATTTTCAAGTTCTATCCAACATTGTTTGTGGCACCTCCACAAAGCTATTGAAATATAGATTTGACTGTAATAACAGTTGTTTGAGATCTCATGTTCCTTTAAAAGAGCTGAAGTTTAGTGAGTATGAATTGTGCCGTCGAATTCTTGATGTTAATCTTCAGAAATGTAATTTTCGTTGTAGCTGTTTGCTGGCTTTGAAGAAATTTCTGTCAAGTGGTCGTTGGTTTCAATTCTTAGTTACAGCTGTCCTTCATTGTTTGATGACTCATTAATGATACCGCTACTGACACATTTGACCACACACTTGGACGCATAAAACTGAGTTTGTTGAGATAATTAAAAGTCAAATAACCTAATCTTACTTGTGATGTGCAACAATCAGCTGAATTTCTACTCTAGTTTTTGGCACATGAAATCAGACATGTCATTAACTCTTCAGGATCCGATAGACGATATTCAATGTAGTAACAATCTTAATACGTGAAATTTTATCATTCAACAGTCAATGATACTTCGGTTTAAATACAATGATTGGAAGTTGCGTGTTGGTTTCAAGTTGCTTAAGACTATATCACTGATTGTCCGTATCGGCATTACAATTAAATTAGTTATCAATAAAATGAGTATCCAATGAGAACAAACGAACACTACCTAGTTAACAGTGAGGAATATCTATACGAATTCGGTCACTTAGAGTATATCATGGCGAAGTGTTTGAAATATGATGTAATCTACAGCCGAAAGTGGCTACTTCTAGTATAGGGTAAAATTCAAGTTGAAAGCCATACTTGATTATGCTGGGAGACTTAAATGATAAACATCAGCAACAAGAAAGGAACCATTTTTAACAGACATGTTTTGTTGTTTCACTGGGACTGTCATACCGGCGGTTGAAGTTTCTGACATATTTTTTTAAAAAGTTTAGGGTAAAATAATAAATATTCAGGAATAAGTGATTGTGGCTCATTAAATGTTAATTTACATGAGACTAAATGTATGGAGAACATAATGTTGTTCCAGTTTAACATACTGTTTGCATAACGTAAGTATATGATATTTAAAAGAAGGCATTTTTTATGTTCATCAGTTGTATGTCAACGATTCCGATAGTATTTCTCCTCAAGATTTCAGTAAATATTTGTTAACTACTCTAAACCTTATTCAAACATCGCGTTTCATTATAATGTCAATTGATTTAGTTGTTTCTGATTCCGTGTGTTCTACTTTAAGCTATGAACCCTTAGTTTCTGGGTTCATATATACTGTTTATCAGTTCCTTAAAATCAGACTTTTGATTTACTTTTACTATGAACGTCCTTTTACAGGTCATACTCTGTTCATCTTTGCAATGACTGATCTCTTAATTATAGATTCGTTTCTCGACTTAATATATGCAGATCACACATATATGTTGAGTGTGAATGGTGACATAATACAGGGTCTCTTGATAACCTAGAGTTACGATAAAAGCCTTGTTTAGGCGACTCATTGTGGAATCACTAAGTGAACAATATTGAGTTTATTTAAAAGCCTTTTCAGAAACTCCGTAATTTGGTTTATGAGACTGGATCCTCACAAATAAAGTGTTTCGGACTGGTATCACACTAGTCAAACCACCGTCAAGTTAGATGCATGATACTGACCGATGTAGAAGTAGTCTGTAGGGAAACTGATAACGATTAAGATCGTCTGGACTATGGTCGTCAACTATGGAGATGTTGAATGACGTGATTTAGAATCGATCACAATTGAAAGATACTTTCACATTTTATTGTTCTCTAGATCCTGTGTTCACAGAGACTTGTTAAAACACCTAAGGATTCTATATTTCTTATCGTCATTTCAAATTATCATGCTAATATGGCTTGGCAGCTTGGTATGAAACAGCTTCGTCCACGTTTATTTAGTCAATCAGCAACAACGCAGAACTTCGTACGTACGTACATCAGTTCGAGTTGTCATACCATATTAGCACATGGATACAATTGTCGATTCAAATCCCGTAGTGGTAGAGGTAGTAAAAGTTCAGGCAGTAATCGGAAAGATGAGGGTTTGAAAATGTTATTCAAAAAGTGTTGTCCAGTGAAATAAATTCAGAAAGAGAAAAAAAAGGATACAAAGAATTCAGAAGATTAGAATTTGAGAGAACACAAAGAGTGGATGCACCTGCGCCATTGCAAACGATTTTGAGTCATATCATTCAAGGTCTCTAACCATCGGTTGATTTCGTCTTGCGGATCCCAACCAGGTAGTCTACACTTACTAACATGGCACATTTCACTTGTCAATGACTTCATGGATTTGTGCCATGTTTTGACCTGGCTACCCCTGGCTTTCTTCTAACCTACTCGTACACCATAAAACATCGCACGTCGGGGCAGTCGGTGTTTGGGCATACCTAACACATGTCCAAGCCATCTCAACTGGTGAAGTTTCACTACTTCATCAATTGATTTGCTAACCTTACCTAGTACCTGTTTCCTAACATCTGCATTACTTACTTGGTGATCCCAAGATATACGAGCAATCCTTTGAAGACACCTATGATGACTATTTTCAAAATACTTTTAACAGAATAAAACAAGATTTATCAGACTAATCTACTTTTTTTCTTTAAATTTCAACTTTATTCATAAAGTAACCAATTAAATGTCAATGCAGTTATGCAATAATCTTCTTAAAAAAATACATTTCTAAACTAATATGATTATTACAATGTAATGAACACTATCAAACATGATTTTGTTTAAAATTTTAGTATAGCTGAAATTGAAAAGAAAGAAATTTCCAATTATTGTACACATTTAATAGATTGATTAATATAACAATATGTAAAGGTAAATATGATATTTCACTGGTTGAAATCATGAGTCAATTGAAGCTAGACCACCATGGAAAACATGGAAGCACTGGACGGCTGTTTCGTTCCAGTATGGGACTCTTCAGCAGTGCCCATCCACGACCCCGCCCTCCGCGAGATTCGGACCCAGGACCTACCGGTCTCACACCAGGCGCTTAACCAACTAGACCACTGAGCCTGCCGGCCAATGTCTAACTTATACCAAATATGATATTCTTTTACTTAATATAATAATCATCTAGTGTTTGTTTCTGTTTTTTTCAGTATGATATTCTATTCAGTATAACATACGATATTCTTGTATTTAATGAACATGGACTATGCTTAGTATGATATGTAGCATATGATTATCTTATAAATCTAAATACTTTACATATATTTGATTTTATCTAGTGTTAAGAAATCTTCATCGTTGGAATTGCAGTAATTCCTTATTTTTGAGTATAAGTGATAAGCAATTCCGATATAATAATCAGTAATGATCATATCTAACAAGTAGCGTTCAATCAGAAGACATATCATTGACTTACTTACTTACTCACTTACTTACGCCTGTTACTCCTTGTGAAGGAGCATAGGCCGCTCACCAGCATTCCCCATCCAACCCTGTCATCAGCAATCCTTTCCAGTTCTTTCCAGTTGTTATTCATTCTTTTCATATCTACTTCTATTTCTCGACGTAATGTGTTCTTTGGCCTTCCACTTTTCCACTTCCCTTCAGCATTTCAAGTCAACACTTGTTTCGTGATGCAGTTTGGTGATTTCAATCATCTATATCCTATCTATTTCCATCGTCTTTTCCTAATTTCCTCTTGAGTTGGAAGCTAGTTTGTTCTCTCTCACAGAGAGGTTGTTGCTGATGGTATCCGGCCAATGGATATTGAGTATCACATATCATTGAATACATAGTTAATCTATCAGTCATTATAGAGTTTATAACAACTGAAAGATTTGTTGTCTTTCATCTTATCCGTCAACCAACTTAAAATATATTCATTGACTACAAGTATTAATCTAACAGTAACTTTATTGAATCTGACATGATCAATTGTTTTAATAACTATTAAATATGTTGCATTCGTTGTATTCTCAAGACAAGTCTAAATACAATAAGTCATTCTCGAATAATATCATATTACAATACTTGACATAAAGATGAACATAAAATAGCACAAAATAATTGATTATTAAGATGAAGTAGAGAGAAAATCTCATTTGCATTACCACCAATTTTCTTTGCTAAAGATATTAATTCATCAACATTTCTCACAGCGAATTCGTACATAACTGAAATATCAGAGAAAACTCAAGTGAATATTTTGTACAATAAAATAAATATTTATTATTAATCTATCATTTTCACTATAGGGTTGTGAAGATTATTATGTTTTTGATTAAAATCATGAACTGGTAGATGTTAGACCACTGCTGAGGAGGAGTCTCACAATAGGACGAAATAGTCGTCCAGTGCTTCCAGGTTTTTGATGGTAGTCTAACATCAATTGGTTCATGATCTCAATAAAAAATATTTATCATTTTATTGGAAGTGATGTTAACTCCAAGTAGTTAACTGTCTACACAAATTTAATAAACCATATTAACGCCTTTTTAATTTTTTTTTCAAGTTCTCACAATTCATCGTTTTACTACTACATGATTCATATGGTAATAAACGAACTATTTGTGTGTATATGATTACAAGAATTCAGAATATTTCACTTTGTGATCTCAACAGTTACATTTTTAGTAAAAAACACACAATAAATTCACTTGATATTGTTTGTTTAAGTCTTCCCATTGATATTTAGGACTGAAATTGATCAGTCTCATGTTGGCATATGTGCATACTGAGCGCATTGCCTTGATATAGCCTTAATTCACAAGCATTATATTTCAAATATGGATAGTGGCTAGCAGAGGAATCCAGGACGCGCGTTTCGTCCTATTCAGGACTCGTCAGCAGGATGTACCTGCATCTCAGAGTTGATGTTCACTCTGGAGCTCGAAATCAGTACCGACAGCTTCAAACCCTATCACGTTATGCACTTAGCTACTGAGTCCTGATAGTTATATGCTTTTGCAATGCGGTGAAGTTTAAATTCACTTGGTATTGTTTACTTGACTCCTCCTATTGATGTGGGTGAACATCAACACTGGGATGCAGGTACATCTAACTGACGAATCCCAAATAGGAAGAAACGCGCGTCCTGGATTCCACTGCTAAAAACATACAATGTTGTGTGACTTTTACTTACATAGTCCATTGTTAAACGACTTTATATTCATGTATTTTTTAGCAATCAATTCATCTAGATCCTTAATATCTGAAGAGAGGGAAAGAAAGTTATTTGTCAATTTAAGAAGTATTATACAAAATTCATCTTAACTTATCATCCATTGTCAGTTTGACAATGGATATAAAGTATTCAAATCAATAACTTTAAAAATAATTATCCACTGCATTTGATAGTATCAAGTTACTGTTTCCCTATCTATTTATAGATATGATGTGCTTTCTTCAATTATGTTTCATAAAAGAGAAATCATTACTTTTGAATTAGGATATGAGTAGTGACAATATTAAGAACAAAATTTTGAATAGCAGGCCATCGTAATTGTGGTTAATTGATGAAGCTTATTGTTTCCATTTAAATATCGAACATGAACAGAAGTTTATGAATTTGTGTGATTTGTACAAGGACTTTGAATTACGTTAACAGGGTTTTGAATTATCAACGTGTTGTCGTTAATTTCTTAGATGTTCTGTTGTCCATGTAATATTGATACGTTTATACACTAAACTATGTACAAACTCCGACTTTAGCATTGCCTACTTACGCCTGTTACCCCGTCAACCAGCATTTTCCAACCCACTCTGTCCTGGGCCTTCCTCTCTACTTCCATACAATTCTCGTTCATTTTTCTCATGTCTATCTCCGTTTCCCAGCGTAATGTGTTCTTTGTTCTTCCTCTTCTCCTTTGGCCTTGGAGATTCCATGTGAGGGCTTGTCTTATGACGAAGTTGGGTGATCTCCTCAATGTGTGTCCTATCCATTTCCAACGCTTCTTCCTCCACTGGAATCTAGTTCGTTCTCTCCCATAGTAGGTTGTTACTGATAGTGCCTGGCCAACGAATCCGAAGTATTTTGCGTAGACAACTGTTAATAAACACTTGTATCTTCTGAATGCTGGCTTTCGTAGTTCTCCAAGTTTCTGCCCCAAACAGAAGAACCGTTTTGACATTTGTATTGAAAATTGTGACTTTAATGTTGGTTGTCAGTTGTTTTGAGTTCCGGATGTTCTTCAATTCTACATATGCTGCTCTTGCTTTGCCGATCCACGCCTTCACATCTGCATCAGATATACCGTGTTCATCAACGATGCTGCCCAGATATATAAAGGCTTTTACATCTTCCAAATCTTCTCCGTGAAGTGTGATTCGATTGATGCATGTTGTGTTGTATCGGAGAATCTTGTTTTTCCCTTTGTTAATATTGAGACCTACTGCTGCTGAGGCTGCTGCTACACTGGTCTTCTTCTGAATTTTTTGTTGCGTGTGTGATAGAAGAGCCAGATCATCTAAGACTTTAGGACGATGGAGAATAATTTAAACCCAATTATAAACATTCAAAACACATTTGTAAAATTGTCATCAACCGAGAAGAATATCGTGAATTCATGGCGTGTCTAGACTTCCATAAGCTGATGAAGTTCAGTTCAGTATTGTTTCAAACTTTGCATAAAGTAACATTACAGATGTCACTTTAGGCCAATTGTAATGGAAGACATTTCTTGAAATTGTATGAGTTCAGTTCATTTTGCAAATCATGTTCTGTTTGATTTGTTGAAATTGATCAAACGATCAAAAAGCATTAAACTTTTGGAAAATATGATGTTTTCATCTGAGTAATTCAATGAGCTTATCAGTGTTACCCTTTTGTTGCAAGAATCATTCAAAGAATTTATTAATAAACGAAGGTAGTAGACAGATAATCATTTCATTAAAATCGCGAACCAATCAAATTTAGGCAACTATTGATAAACTGAAAGCATTAGATATGTTTGATTCTCATTTACGATGTCATACATGAGCATTATTGTGAAGTCCCATACTATGGCTTAACATCTGTCAAGTACTTGCCGGTTTTCGATAGTTATCAAACTTAGAAGAGTTTTTTTTATTCCAATGAAATTCAACCATCTGCACAACCTCATACTTTTCATACTGATATATAATAAAGATCATTTATTTCTGTTTACCTTCTTCAGGGAATGTTTTAAATTGATTGCACTTTTCTTCATTGTTATTAGACTTCATATCTGTAAATAACATTGTTTTTTTTACAAAAAAATTACTTCACTTGACAACGCTTTTAAAATTGATCAACTATGCGACCAGTGAACATCAATATTTAAAGCGGATAAAAACTGTGAAAATTCGTCTTGGTTACCAAATGTCTGACTAGATATACATCCCTGATGTCATAAATGATCAAAAATATTATTTTGCTTGTAAAACATTACAATATTGATTGAACTAGAAAAGTTATCAGGTGCCCTGGTACGGCCGAAAGTGGGAAGAGTCCGCTCTCCCTCTCGAAATGCTCTCACATGGCCACGTGTATATAGCCTCTGCCAGGGAAGTCCCACTCACTGCCTTATCGTGGCGTGGTGTTGTTTGCGAAAATAAGAGGACGAAAAGCGAATGTCTGGCGCTTTAACCGGATCCCAAACCAATGGTGCACATGGGCTCCAGTATCCTGCGAGAACAAATGGCGTATGAACCAATTGTTGGTCACCGGCTTCCATGGGACTGCATCTCCTTACGATGCTCCACTGCCTTGTGGATCAGACCTTCAGGTCGAAGGCTCGGGGAGTGGCCAACTAAGAAAACCACCTGCTTCGGTTTGGGTACCCGGGCAGCATCACAGCCCTCACACATATCGAATGAGATTTTTGTGGCGCATATGTATTTGGTGCTTCCTTGTACCAATATCTATGTGTTTAAATAAATAAATAAAATAAGTTGAATCTTTCAGTAGTCTTAGCCAACAACTGAGTGTAAACAGAAGACTGTGTAAATAGGAATGGTTCATTTTCTTAAATTTTATTGTAACAATTAAGTGTTTTCTATATTATTGGTTTTGTAGTGAAGAAGAACATAAGTGGGGACAATCGAACGTATTTGAGCACAAGATTACAGAACATCTCACTAAAATCTGACAACCAAATAGTAAATACTTCATTTGCAAAATATCAATTAATTGTCTTAAACTTGATTGTTTCTTTTGCAAATATCAGTCCATCGTTTCAGATTTCATTGTTCATACTAATTGCTCTTCGTTTCCGTTTTCTTCTTCTCGACCTTACACTGAAATACATCCTTTATCTGACAATCGTTGTATACTACTTATGTAGATATAAGTAACTCACACCACAGTTCCAAGTCGATAATTTCACTTTGTAATGTTGATTTAAATAAAACGTTGAATTCGTTATGCTATTTTGATTCATAGAAGCATTGTTTAATGATCTGATTCGTTCTATCCTGTTTAAAGCTATCTATCTATCCGACAAAATTTATCTGTCCATCAATGTCTATCAAATGTGACTAAGTATTATACATCAGTATAAGTGCTGTGTTTTATGAATTGAACTCAAACGTTCTTAGCCAGTATCATAGTGGTGATCATTTCGTTATATCAATGGAGCTGCCGTATAAACGATGATTCCATTTAATGCTATCTCAAACCTTGATCTGAATGATTAGTTAACCATACTTCCTAATATCATATGTAATCAATCGACTATACATCGGTTGTTTTATTGTGTTTGTATTTATCCAGACACTTTCATGATAAAATATTCATATAAGTGATCGCCGTAATTATCTGTGAGATTTTTCATTACTGTTCACTATGAATTTGAACTGAAGGGAATGATTACAAGAAAGCAAGGAAACAATAAATAATATTTGTCTTTGAGATATGGACACTGGAGTGTTTATCTATAATTTATTCATTACCAATTTGTCTATGGTGAGATGTTATTTATATTTCTTTAATTTACAAATGAGTAATGACCACGCTTAAATCGAACAAAAAATGTATATTTTATTATGATGGAGTTTAGTTCTCGGATCTGGATTGTTTATTCATTCAGAAGAACGATGAAAGCTCCACGACTAAACCATCCAGCTCAGAGAACAAAACTCCATTACAAGCATCATCCACCTGAGCTACAAATCTTCTCCACCATTTCAAAATCATATGAGTGAAGCGCATTTCTCGTCGTTTGAAAATTGGGAGGATTTCGTCAAAATGCAGGCTTCTACTCGAGAACAACTGTATTTTCTCCACGGATATCTTTGTCAGCATTTTCTACCAACAAGTGTAAGATACAGTGCACTAATCAATTGTTCATTTGGATGGAGAATAGTTGAGTGAAGTGAAAGAAAAATGGCACACCTAATGATAACGGATATTTTATTAAGATCGCTAAATGTTCATGAATATTTTCACTGACTTTCTGATATCTTTAATTGTTCTTCGAGGTGATTCTGCAGAGTTGGAAAATTACCAACTATTGTTTTGATGAAATACAAAGAAAGTAGACAAAATTAATTTCATAACACAATACGAAACATATATTATCATGACAATCAACTGTAAAGTTAACTTCAATTCAAATAGAGCATTGTCATAAAAGCAAGTTCAATATCCTCTTTAAAGTTTTGCACAACCTTTATGAATAGGATAATTGTACAAGAATAAATGTCGTAAATAGAATGTTTCCGATAGTGAGATTGTATATAATATCATATCATATGGATAATAATGCGAACTAAGAAATCATACACGTTATAAGTATCCTGAATCCCCATGATTTTTCTATTTCTAAAAGATTTAAATGAAAAGAAATAGTTATTCATTTCATTGGCATGTTAACTAAATAAGATGACATCTAGCAAAAACAATATCGAACTTTAGTCTAAATTAATGGTAAAAGAATATAAACGGAAAAAAATTCCAAGGACCCTTCGACAGTAAAAGAACTTGATGAGTTTCTGCGTTATTCTGTCAAACTTGCGAAGTGAATGCGAAGATAAAAGAAGATACAATAACGATGATATAGTGTGCAACAATGATGGAGTTCTTGTATGAGCAGTTAAACTTCACTGTCGTTTTATGTTAGCAAGATACTTGTCAATAACATGCGTAAACATTCTAATAAGTAGACAATTGAATATCTGACCAATTACAAATGAGTAGGAATCAACTCTACAACAAGTAAGTGACTCTCTCTTCAGTTAAAATAATCCTGAATAGTAAGATGAATATATGCAAACAAATAACCGCCAACATGAAACTGTCATGTTATTTAAGCCTACTATTTCATTCATTTCAAATGATGTGGTTACATCTCGGTAGTGATAATATACAAGAGATTAATTGTTGAATGTGGATGATATGTGGTGTGTGCTACTTATATTAATATAAGTATATGATGTTAGTTGTGAACAGAAAGTCTGGCAGCAAAGAGACAAGACGATCGAACAGTAAAAAATGGAAACAAGACGCAATTTGTATGAAAATGCAAGAACAATGAAGTCTGAGTCACTACGACACAACTGGTGGACATTTTGTAAATTAAGCATTTACATTATGATTGTTAGATTTTATTAACCGGTCCTGTAATTTTGTGTTAAATGCATTCGATTGCTCCACCCGTG